CGTCCTCAAACGGTGACTTCACGGCTGCCGGCTGCCTTACTCTGCCGGGGGTCGGGGCTGGCGGGACGCGGCGGCGCCTCTCGGGGGTCTCGGAGGGGAGCTAGGAAGGAGCCCGGGGAGAGGAAGCCGGCCGCAGCGTGTAGCACAGGGCCCGGGCTCTGACCGGCTGAGCTGGCCGGCTGATAGCGGGGACCTTGCCGGCAGCTGCGCACAGGAAGCCGGCAAGACGGTAAACACGGAGCAGCAGCCCGCCGACCAGATGGAGGGTCAGCGCCCCAGGCTGGGCCGCGCCACCGGGTCACGAGAGTGCGGGGGGCGGGGGGGTGCGCTCCTCCGATGATGAGAAAACAATCTGAGCGTGAAGTCAGCGCTATCGGGCGAGGGTGCCGCCAGCCGGGCCGGCCCTGAACCTGGACTCAGGAAGGCCCCTCCCCGCCCAGCCTGAACCTCACTCGGCAGGAATGTTGGCAGGAGCCGCTGCCAGCCGGCCAGCTGGGACCGGGCCTGCGATACCAGGCCGGCGGGGATCGTCAAGGACACCGATGTCATGGCGATGAGCCCCCCAGGCCTCTCCCCCGCACGCGGGCAGGCGGGGGTCAGTGCCGCTGCTCCCTTCCGAGCTGCCGCCGGGGCAGTGGGTGTTTACAGGCCCGCCCGGGGCGGCGGTCCAGACAGAAGCTCCGTGAGGGGAAACCCGCAGGACCCAGCCGGGCTCCCGCCTGCCCCCGCGCTGTGGGCAGCTGGGCTGGTTCCTCCTGGCCTGGCCGCCAGCCCGCTGGGCCCAGCCTCGTGGCTGGAGCATCTCGCTCTCAGCCTGGAGGGAACAGGTGGGATTCTGGTGCCAGGGCCTGTCCGCTCTGAGCTCGGTCGCCCGCAGGATCCGTCTCTGCCCCGAGGTCACACAGGAACACAAGCCCCACCCTCACGGGGTCTCAGCACAGGGAGGTGCCACGCCCCCAAGCAGCCTGACAAGGGAAGAAAAAGCAGCCGGCGACAAGCTTTGGCCCCGACAGGCCGGCCCTAGCCCTGGCCCCAGGAAGGTCCCGAGCGTCTCTGAGCCCCACGGGCCAGACCAGGACAGAGTCCTCAGAGACGACTGTCCCCGCTCGGCTCCGGCCCCTTGGAGGGGCAGGAACCCAGGCAGCACCCCTGACCCGCACCGGCCCCGGGACCCCCTCTGTGCCCTCACGGCGAGCCCAGTCCGAGGAGCAGAAAGACGCAGGGAGGAAGCGTGGTTGAGAGCCCCGAGGTTGTTTTGTGTTGGGTTCGTTTCCGACGTCTGTATCGCAGGAACCCTTCCTCCCCGCTAATCGCACGGAAACGGGCCCAAGGAGGCACCAACCATGACTCAGCACATTTAGCCCCTCGACCTGAGCAGCTGAGGGGGGGGGGAGAAACAGCCACACAGGCCAACAAGGCTCTCCGCCCTGCGCGCTGAGCTGAGGAACAGCTGGCGACATGTTTTCCGTTCAAAGAGTTTCCACATTCCTGCTGAGAAGCTCTGCCGGAGACACAGAGCCCAGAAGTGCACTGTGGCCCCCAGCGTCTCCAGACCACTGGGAGGGCTCACAGCCTGAGCGGCCGCAGCAACCAAGGCAAGCGCCAGACGGGCAGCCCCCATGAGAGGCGGTACCACGGAGCCCCTGGCCTCCATGAAGGATGGTACCACGGAGCCTGTGACCTCAAAAAGAGACAGATGGTACCACGGAGCCTGTGACATCCATGAGGGATGGTACCATGGAGCCCATGATCTCAATGAGAGGTGGTACTACGGAGCCCGTGGCTTCCACGAGAGACAGATGGTACCATGGAGCCTGTAACCTCCATGAGTGTTTATATCATGGAGCCCGTGGCCTCCGTGAGAGGCAGTACCACGGAGCCCGTGGCCTCCATGAATGATGGTACCACGGAGCCCGTGACCTCCATGAGGGATGGTACCATGGAGCCCATGATCTCAATGAGAGGCGGTACCACGGAGCCCATGGCCTCCACGAGTGACGGTACCATGGAGCCCATGACATCCATGAGGGATAGTACCACGGAGCCTGTGACCTCCATGAGGGATGGTACCACGGAGCCCGTGGCCTCCATGAGAGACAGATGGTACCATAGAGCCCGTAACCTCTATGAGAGATTATACCATGGAGCCCGTGGCCTCCGTGAGAGGCGGTACCACGAAGCCCATCCTTGTGAGCAGCAGACAGCCTGCTGGACCCAGCCACAGATACGAGGTGGGGATCCTCCCTCTCCTTCCCTCTTTCTTCTAACTCATGTTCCTGGAGCGACTTTGTTCGGAGGTTGTCAGTGTTTTTAGGACGAGGAGTCTCTTGTTCTCTGTCCTAACACAAGCTGACTTCCCCTGCTTGTCAGTGGAGGCTTCACAGAGCATTCACAGAGCACCACCTCGGTAATTCAAGTCGAGTCAGCACGAGATGAGCTCTCACAGAGCCGCTGCAGTTCGCGCCAAGCCCACTTGCCTTGTGGGCGTGATCACAGGGGGTGCAGGGACGCACCACCCCCCGCCCTCCCTGCTGCAAACCCACCACCCGCTGAGCCCGGGCAGAGCCGGTGTGCCCTTCATTTCCAAGCGGCCGGGAGTGTTCCTCTCCATCCCCGGACTCTGCCCCCCGCGCATCAGGGGCAGAGGGTCTCAGGCTGCGCCCCCCGGCAGCTCCGTGAGCTCAGACTCGGGGGAAATGCTCGCTAGCCATAAGCACGGCCCAGGAAATAACAGGGTAGCGTGGTGGCAGCTGGGGTAGGGGGTGGGGCGGCGCCGTGAGTGGCAGCACGTGGCTCTCCGGGCGGCCAGAGCTCGGGCCGGAAGGATATCCAGGCTGCTGCTCTCCAAGGTCACGCGGGTAGCAGCCCGTTTCCCTTCACATCAGACGCCCCACCAGTGTGATGGCAAGTGGACGAATGCCAGCTTACACCCTCCGGCACAGCCGGGCCCAAGGGGCAGGGAGGCAGGTGGGCTCTCTCAGAGAGCCCCTCTGCAGCCCAGGGTGGCCGGGAATGAGCTGCCCCCCCCCGTCCCTTACGCCCCGATGGCTCTGCCCGCCTCTTGCTATTGCTGCAGGACCTTTCTCACCTGGGTCCGGGGCTGTGCGGCACAACTGTTCCAGCCGAGACCCCCATAGCATCCCTCTGAAGTGCATTCTCCCCTTCCTGTGAGCTCCCGGACACGAATCAGCAGACGTGATGGATTCGGCCTCTCGGGCGGGAATGCCCTCGGACCCGGGACCCCTGATGCCCTCCCCAGCCCCTGTCTGCACGTGGGCAGGAGAGCTTGGCCTCGGGGTGTGGCGATTCGTGGCGGGTCCCAGAGGCTCTCCCGTTCCCTCTCCAGCGACCACGGCGTGTTCCGGAGTCAAGCGAACACTGATGCGTTCCTTGGGAACTTGGCGTGAAATGTTTTCTTTGTCTTTTTTTTTTAAAAAAAAAAGAAATCTCTGCCGAAGAATGAAAATAACCCGGGGGAGACAGTGCCACCGTCAGAGGTGCCAGGCCTGGCTTGCGCGGTGAGGACCTGGAGGTCGGGACGCTCAGGGCCAAGGACAGGGGGCTCCAGCCCACTCACCAACACCCCCTGCCAAGGACTCCTGGCCACCACCAGGACCCCCCAGACAGACCCGACCTTCCAGCTCTCTCTGACTTGTCCTGCCACGGGACCGCCCTGCCTCTGCCTCTGCCCGCCACCCCCCTTCAAGCTCAGCACACACTGAGCACAGGGCAGCGAGGCTGCTGGGTTCTTACTGTGAGCGGGCATACTCAGTAGCAATCAGGGACTACTCCTGGCTCTGTGCTCGGGAGTGACCCCTGCCAGTGCTCGGGGGCCCTGTGTAGTGTCAGGGATTTGAACTGAGGTCGGGGGGATACAAGGTCAGTGCATTGACTCCCGTCTGATCTGAAAGGGCGGATGAGGACTCCTCTCCCTCAGCTGGTACTCTGCACCATGAGCGTGGCATGGAACACTCTAGAAGCTTTCAAAGCCGCAGGAGCCCACCCTCAGAGACTGACCACAGCCAGCAACAGCCCCCCTCCTGGCTTCCAGGGTGGGCAATTCCCAGGCCACCACTGGGGGCTCCCGGCAAGCACATGGCTGTGGGCACCCACTCTGCCCCAGAACGCACCCTGCCCCCCTGAGTTCCCTAGCCATCCCCAGAGGAGTTCATGGACAGCCAAAGGGTCAGCGCTCACAGCAGCTCTGCCTGTCAGGGTCCAAGTAAGTGTGTGTGGGGGGGTGATTCCCAGGGGTCCATCCCAAAGCAGGGGGCGGGCCTCCCCGCAGGGGGCGGGCAGGAGCAGCAGAGGGTGGACCCGCACACGGACACCCCAGCCTCTGCAGGACACTTCCCTGGAGGGCGCTGGGCCTGGGCTACGGCCCCAGCAGCGTCCTGGGACTCGCCGCGCGGGGAGGGTCCAGCTCAGGCACTTCCCGGCGCGGCGCGGCGGGGCGGGGCCCTTCCTGGGCGGCGGAGCCCGCAGCATCCCGGACGGGACACGCGCGCGCGGGTGAGAAGTCCCAAGGCCCGGGTGAGGGGGGCCGCTCCGGTGCCCGCCCGGGCGGCAGAGACCCTCCCCCGTCCGCGCGCAGCCGGGGACAGGCGGTGTCCGAGCGGGCCAAGCGGAAGGCGGCCGGGCCGGCCCCAGACGGCCGGTCTGCGGCGGCGGCGGCGGCGGCGCCCGATTTAGCCGCGAATTTCCATCCTGTCGCCTGGCAACCGGCTGCGACCAGCTGGGCCCCGCGCGCGCAGGGGCAGCGGCGGGCGCGAGGGCACGTGAGCGCGGGCCGGCGCTGCCCACCCTGGGCCCGGGCCGCGGGTCCCGCCCCCCAGCTCCCGGGGGTCCGTGCGCCACCCTCGAGTCCGCCGAGTCGGCGCGGCGGGCAAGTGGCGCGCGCGCGGCCGGGGCGCCTCCGCCCTCGCCGCCCCGAGGGGACGCGCGCCCCGGGCCGGGCGCCCCCCGCCGCTCCTGCCCCCGCCCCGGCCCGCGAGGCTCACCCAGGTTGACGAAGCTCATCACCATGTCGGCGTCCTGCAGGAAGGCGCTCCCGTGCGCGCCCGCCGGGGAACCCGCGCGCACCAGCCCGTGCCGCGCGCGCTCGGCGCCGTCGGCGGCCGCCAGGCTGCGGTACAGGTCGAGCATGAAGCGCGGCGCCGAGGGCAGCGGCCCGGGGCGCGGGGGCGCGGGCGGCCGGTGCGGGAGCCCCAGCACCGCCAGGATCTCCTGCTGCATCTCAAGCTTCTCGTGCGTCCGCAGGCGCCGCGCCGGGGGGCCGGGGGCGGCGGGCGGCGCGGGCGGCGCGGGCGGCGCGGCGGCCAGCGCGCCGGGCAGCGCGGGGGGCGCGCAGCAGCCGCACAGCAGCCCCCACCACCAGCACAGCCAGCGCGCGCGGCGGCCCGGCGCCCGCATCCCCGCGCCGCCCCGCCTCGGCCCGAGGCGCCGCTCACGCCGCCCCGCGCATGACCCGGGCGGGGGCGCGGCCGGGACCCGGCTCACGTCGGGCGCCCCGGGGTGCCCGGCATCGCCCCGCGCGCGCCCGCCGTGCCCCGCGCCGCGCAACTTCTCCCGGCGCAACTCGGGGCGTCCGCGGGGCGCGGGCCGCGACGGGCCGGACGGTCAGCGCCGGGCGCCGCGCGGGCAGCTCGTGGCAGGCGCGCCACGGGCGGGCAGGGCGGGCATGCGGGCACCGCGGGCAGCTCCGGGCCCCGGCAGGCGGGCAGCGCGGGCAGGCGGGCGGGCACCGGGGCGGCTCCGGGCGGGCGCGCAAGGCGGGCCGCGCGGGCAGGCGGGCGGGCACCGGGGCGGCTCCGGGCGGGCGCGCAGGGCGGGCCGCGCGGGCAGGCGGCGGGCACCGGGGCGGCTCCGGGCAGCGCTGGCGGCTGCGGCTGGCGGCACCGGGCAGCGCGGGCACCGGGCAGGCGGCACCGGGCCCCGCGCGCTCCCCGACCGCCGCTCCGCCAACGTGGGCGTCCGCGCGCCGCTCGGCAGGTACCGCTCGGGCCGGGCCCCGCCCCCGCCGGCCGGACCCGCAGCGGCCAATGGCGAGGCGCGCCGCCCGCCCGATTTGCATAGCCCCGCCCAGCGCGCCGGGACGCGCCCCCGCCCGAAGGTCGCGGCCCCGCGTGGGGGGCGTCGGCCGCGTGTCCGCGCCGCGCGCCCGGCGGGCTTTGATGCAGGGCGACCCTCGGGCTCAGCCCAGAGCAGCTGCCGCCGCGGGGCGCCCCCGCCGCGCCCCCGGGCCTGGAGGCCGGGCGGGATTCTCGGCCCCTTCTCCGCGGGGAGTCGAGCCTGGCGCGGAGTTTGCTTTTAAGGGTTTCCAAGGCCGATTCCCCGCCTCCCCCTCGGGCTCCCTCTGCTCCCTCTCTCCATCTACCTCTCCCTCTCCCTCTCCCTCTCTTCCTCTTTCTCTCTCTCCCTCTCCCTCCTCTCTCCCTCTCCGTTTCTTTCTCCCTCCCTCTCTCTCTTTCCCTGTTTCTTTCTCCCTCTCCATCCCTCCCTCCTCTCCCTCCCTCTCTCTCTCTCCATCTCTCCCTCTCCCTCTCTTCCTTTTTCTCTCCCTCTCCCTCCTCTCTTCCTCTCCGTTTCTCTCTCTCTGTCTCTGTCTCTCTCTGTCTCTCTCTCTCTCTCTGGGAGCAGAATCGCCTTGCATGCTACCTTAAGTTTTGGGGGGTACAGTCAGCATCAGTAGAGTGAAGTTCACCGTGGAACTTGCCCCAAAGAAAGGTGCCCCCCTCCTAGAGACGCTCCTTCTTCCAGGAAGACTTCCTCCCTCCTTCCTCTTCTCTCCCTCTCTCTGGTCTGCTCAGGTCGCCTTGACAGGACTGAGAGGTACCATGTGGTCCACGCGGGATGAAACCAGGGCACAATCCCAGGGGAGCCCCTGGGCTCAGAGTCCACAGAGGACCAGGAGTCTCTGAGCAGACCTCCCCCCAGCCCCGCGCTCTGAGTCCCTGGTGTTCCGGAAGGTTCCCTGCCCTGCTCTCAGGGGCTGAGAGTGGCACAGCCTTCAGCAGCCGCAGGACTCACCTAGAAGTGGAGTCCCAAGGGCCTGCGGGGTCTGGGCCCTTGAAACCCAGCGTTGCCTCCACCACATACTTGGAAGCACACGTCGCACACTCCATACACATACACACAAGTACATCGTTCATACACGCACACATGTGCTTCTTGTATGGCGTTGATGAGCCAACACTATCCTAGCTTGCAGCTCACAGCCAGGAGAGCTGGGTCTCAGTGAGTGCCAGTCATTTGGCCCCCACACATCTGGCCCTCCCCACCCCTCACCCCTGCCCCACCTGACACACCTGCCTGTCGATCTGCCAGAGGCGCCGGTGAGGGGACAGGCGGGAAAGACCAGGAGCCCTGGCAGAAACGCTCCTGACACCTAAGTGCCCAGACGCAGGACTTGGCTGTGCACCGGGCATGCAGCCGCATGGTAGAGCCACGCGTGCACACACGGCGCGTGTTCACATAGTTGCCAAGCGCACACACAGCACAGCTGCATGCATGTGCATCGGGACGGGCACACGCACGCTCTCTGCATGCACACACCACACCACACACGCACGTCGCACTCACTGGGCTGCCGTGTCTACACACACACACACACACACACACACACACACACACACACACACACACACCGAGCAGCCTCCCTGGGTGTGGGCAGGGCACACGGGATCATAGGGCACGGGTCTGAGTGGCAGCTGGCATGTCTTGCACACGCTGGTCCCGGTCCGTCCCGGCACTCTCCGGCAGCTCCATGTGGCCCGGGCAGCCCCACAACATGGGGCCTGAGCTGCACCGCCCAGTCGTGGCCTCACACTGACGAGCCAGGAGCACGGGGGGTCCCAGGCTGCCCACTGGTGGGTGAGTGAACACTTGGCAGCTGCTGGGAGGGGGAGGAGTCCTGTCTGCAGGGCAGGGGAGGGCTGAGAGCAGCGGCTTTCCTCAGCCCAAGAGGGGAGCCTGGGCCAGAACACGGGCAGTGGACAGGCCCGGGCGGGACCAAGGGCTGTTTCCCGCTCTCTGATGACCCTGGGAGACAGCCCAGTGCCCCTCGGGGCCCCGAGACGGCAGAACTCTGTGGGGCCCCAGCCACCCCCGCCTCCGCCCTGTCACTCCCCCGCTGTCCCAGGCAGGGCTGAGGAGGCAGGGGCAGAGGCAGCCTGTCGCCCGCGGGAGCTGCGGGAAGGCTGGACCCTGCCCCGTCCCTGCCACCCGCCTGACCTTCATCCCTCACGGCCCCCTGCAGGACAGGCCCAACCCTGACCCAACCCCAGGCCCTCGGCCCACGTCGGCTCTGGGAGCATCTCCCGTGGGAGCTTCCCCTTCACTAACAGGCCGGCCGTGGCCTTGGGCTGTCCGGAAACCGGCGTCCACCGTGCCGGGGGCTTGGGGGTGGGCCTGCAGCACGAGGGCACGTGGGGTGAGAAGGGCCGATGGGTGGCATTCACCCGCTCCCGGCCCTGCCACGGCTCCCAGCACCCGCCCCGGAAACTTTTCAGTTTTGCTTTATTTCATTCTGCTGTTTGGCTTTGGGTTCACACCCCACCGTGCTCAGGGCTCACCCTGGCTGTGCGCTCGGGGATCACCCCGGAGGGGTTCAGAGTCGGTCCGTGCGAGGCAAATGCCTTGACCCCACTTGAATGTCTCCATCCCGGTTTCCAGTCCAGCTGCTGCTGGTGACTTGCCCCCCCCCCCCAGTCTCTCCCCTCGCTTGCCCCGCCCAGGAGCCGGTCCCAAGACCCTCCCCGGCTCCCCACTGGCACGCAGCACCTCCCCGGGCTTTCTCGGACACGCCATCCCACGAACTCGGGCTACCGCCTCCAGGAGCTCCGCGGCGCCTGTGCCCCAGCCTTGAAGCCGCGAGACAGACCCCAGACACCAGCTTTTGATCGCGAAGACTGGGGCCAGGGGGCGCAGGCTCTTAACACGGGTCTCTAAACAGAGCCGTTCGCTCAAAACTCTGAAACACCCACTTGGAGCCGAGTGGAAAGGAGAGACCTAAGTCAATGTTTGCCAAGCCGAGAGATGGAAACGGGCCGAGAGCAAACACCTGGGAGGCGTCTCCCCAGCCGCACGCGTCCGTCCCCGCCCGCCCCCCCAGCCCGCACCACTCACACTTTCCTCACCAGCGGGGGCGCTGAGCCCTGCACGCACGCACGCGGCGATCACATTTTCCGACTCGTGAAGGACACCTGCTGGCCGGGACGGCTGGAGCCCGAACCCAGAGGTTCCCATGGGGCCACCAACAGCCGAGCGGGAGACGTGCACCCACAGCTCCTGTCTCCCGGGCACGTGTCCCGACACTGTCCCCCGCGTCAAACTTCGCAGCCTTGGGGACTCCCGGCTGTCGGCTCCCTGAGGGGCCCCTGAGGAGAGGCACGCAGACTGACTGGACGTCACCTGCGCGCAGAGCAGGGCTCACGCGCATCCCTGAAGAGTCAGTCGGGCCCTGTGGAGGGGCTAGTCCCCGTGGCTCCAGGGCCTGAGACCCCCCCTCCCAGGCCCACCACCCCCGGCCCCGCGGCCAGTGCCCAGCAAGGGTCACGAGGACGTTCCATCACACAGGACACTGTCCAGCCTCCCCGCCCACTGGTGGTGCAGGGAAACTGCACACAGTGGTGGAATCACGCAGCAGGAGCCCAGGCATCTCCCGGAGGGCGGGCGCAGGGGGTGGGTCAGCTCAGGCGTCTGCTTCTGCCCTCTCTCCCCCACTCACTGGCTCACTCCCTCCCTCCCTCGATCACTCATCCACTCACCCGCTCACTCATTCACTCCCTCTCTCAATCACTCATCCACTCACTCCCTCATCCACCCCCGCACTCACTCACACGTTCCTTTGCCCCTTTGCTCATCCCTCATCACTGGGTCTTCACTCTCACTCATCCAGTCTCTCGGGGCAGATTCCCAGTGCTTTGGGTCCCCGAGGGGGTCAGTGTGGGGAGGGGGTCAGGAAGGAGAAATGGCCAGGAGGGGATGGGTGGAGCAGTACTGCAAAGGCCCTGGGGCCCAAACTGGGGGAGGTGGGACTGGGAGAGGCCCGGGGGCGTGTGAGGTGATGCGCCCAGGAGACTGGAGGGCCTGCTTGGGAGGACGCTGCTCACGGGGGAGGGGTCAGCACTGGCTGCGACCTCCGACCTCCGGGGCTGCTTTGAAGGTGACACACGACCTACTGGCTCAGGCTCGCGTGGGCTTGAGGGTCCAGGCGGGGGGGGGGCGGGGGGCATCCAGGGCAGAGAAGAGCGTGTGGGGGGGGGAGGCAGACCTGCTGGGCTCCACCCTGGAGCTGCAGCAGGCGGCGGCAGGGGACAGGGCTCTCCCTGGCCATGGAGTCCCTCTCTGCACCCTGACCAGAGTCCAGGGGGACAGTGAGCGTTGGGCCAAGTCTCTGCCCAGCAGAACCACAGCCGCCTGCGGGCCCCGTGGCCAGCCCTC